CAACACATTTGGAAAACAAGTACTTTGCAGTCATCTCTGAAGCAAATTCTACAATACTGCTGCAGCTCAGCAGTTCCTGTTGCATTAGCATGAGTTACCCTGACAGGCATGACTGATCGCATCCTCCTTCACAATCCCGAACAAAGCCTGAATGTTCACTACCCAAAGATACCATTCTCAGGGAAATCCTTTATTTGCCCATACACACAGGATTCTGTTGTTTACAAAAAAAAGAAACCAACACCCAGTATTTGGTTCTTTTGATTAATAAAACCATCAACCTAGTCATGTATGTTCTTGCAAAAAAAAAAAAAATTAAAATGACCTGATTTTACAGATCAGTTCCAACATTTCATTCCTTAACATAATTATTTCACTAAAAAACTAGTGAACAGTTTTAAAGTATGAGATTTGAACATAGGATATGAAAAGTATTAATTAAAGACAATAATCAGATAGGTCCATACTTCTCCAAATAAAATAATGTACTATATTAAAATGAATTTGGACTAATAGGCAATGTGCACTACAGATGTAAAGATGAATACAGTAGAGCCTTAGTTCTGAATACTGGGTTGTATTAATAACCGTGGTACTTGCAAATACAGGGAAGTGATTCTTCTGCTCTATTGTGCACTGATAAGGCCTCACCTGGAGTAATATATCGTTTTGGACCCCACACTTCAAGAAAGATGTGGACAGATTGGTAAGAGTTCAGAGGAGAGTGACAAAAAATATTTGAAGCTGTAAAGTATGACTTACAAGGACAGGCTGAAAGAACAAGGGTTATTTATTCCAGGGAAGAGAAGAAGATGGGGAATTTTCTCTGTGGCTGCAAGAGACAGGACTAGGATCAATGCACTCAAACTGCAGCAGAGGAAATTGAGGTTGGAAATTAGGAGGAACTTTCTGACCATGAAGGTTGTGAAACATTGGAACAGGCTACCTAAGAAGCTGTGGAATCTCCACCCCCACAAATTTCCAAAAGCAGGTTAGACAGACAGTTGGCTAGGATGGTTCAGTCAAGAAAGATCCTGCCTTGAGCAGAGGACTGGACTAGATGACTTTGTGAGATCCCTTCCAGCCCTGCTTTCCCATGATCCCATATCCCTACCTTTATCTACCCCAAATCCAGTGGGAAATCTCTTAAAAATACATTTCTAAAAAATACTAAATCATTAATAGGATATGCAAATAAAATTAAAAACAAACACCTGAGTATCACTTTCTTTTTTCACCCGAGAAGGCCTAAATTCAAATTTGTGTTTCTGCAAAGGCTGATGGCCTCCGATACACAAAACTGCATGATAGGGAGCACTTGGACTAATCTAAAATTCATACAGCGCAATAGAAAGGCTTCTGGTGATGTCACTGAGCTATAAATCATATCCTTTATTCACATTTTGAGACACACAGTCATGAAGTAGTCAGAAACAGAATGAGCTAAGTCTTGCCCTATATGCCAAAACTATTTTAATTTATTTTGTAAAATATTCTGTATCCTATTAATGACAAACAGCTGTTAACGAAGATCCCATTTGCAATAGGAAGCTGGTTTGTAAAAATACTGTCAAATTCTAAAGAATCTGAGCTTTTATTCAAGAAGTGGTAAATTTCTGAGCCTTATGCTTTTAAGAATAACCTTCCAAATCTGTCTTCTTAAGTCTGCAGACAAACAGCTCCAGTGCCTCTGTTACTGTTCATTACTTTCCATGCCACAAGAAGAGTGAAGCTAGGAGACTTGTGAATTTTCATTGCTAATAATCAGAAAAGTATGAACAGCAATGGAACACACCATGGCAGGGGTCAATAACCTGTGGAGCCATTTGATCCAGCTGTGGACACGGGGCTTCAGCACAGGACTTTACCCTGCTGCAAAGCTGGCTGCCAGTGCTCTTCCCATGTGACTGCAGGGAAAAGCAGTGGTGGTAGTGACTGGGTCCTAGCACTATCCTTCCACCTACCTGACTCTGCCCCAAATGGGGTCAATTCAAGCTGAAGCCTTAAAAGGTTGCTAACCATTGGAATAGAACATTTTGTCTTTGTATTGCTGATGCTTCTGAAAGCTATGGGGCACAAGCAGCAGTCTATCAAGCTGGGTACCTGAAAACAAAGCCTCAAGAAAGAACATCCACACACTCACTCTCTCTCTCTTTTACACAATTCAGAAAGGTGAGTGAAGGGCATATTTTATGAAACCACCACAGAAACATATAGCTTTGTGGAGGGGAGAAACAGAAACAGGACATATTGCTTTTTTTCAAATTGAGCAGACTCCTGCCAGGTGATCTAATGGCACAATTAAGGCATTGCAGCATCCCAGACACACTTACAGCTGCCCCAAGTAACCCAGCTGTAAATGGGTGCCTAGTTCAGGCAGGGACTGAAGGATGACCAAACATGGTGCTAGCCACTTCGTTCCTTTCTGTACCACTGACTAAATAAAACAATAAAACTTAACTAATTACACTATCTCCCCTGGCTAACAGTTCTCACAGCACCTTGGGAAGCACGGGCACCTCGGGGCGAAGAGCGGGGCAGCGCAGCCCGCCCCAAGGTGCCCGTGCAGTTGCTGCCAGCACAGAGCTGATGCTGGAGCTGTGGAGCCCAGCACAGCTGTTTGCAGCCTGCCCCCTGCTTGCTTGGTGCAGCTGCCCAGAGCCCAGGCTGGCTACAAACAGCTGCGTTGGGCTCTGGAAGCCTGCCATTACCTCTGTGATGGAAGAAGGGGAGAGACCGGGGCTGCGCTGCCTCAAGCCCCTCCCTCACCACCCACTCCAATGCAATGCGTAGGTGCACACACCTGTGCGAAGCCCAGCACAGCTGTTTGGAGCCTCCCAACTGCAGCCAGCCGGGAGTCCAGGCTGCTCCCAGCAGCTCCCCAGAGCCGGGGTAGCTGCTGACAGCCAGAGAACCCAGGCTGGGGGGCAGTAGGGGTGGGAGGCACAGGTCAGCAGGGGCACAAGCAGGGCATCCTGCCATGTACCCCTTGCCCTCATTTTGTTTTTCTGCCATGCTGGCACTCCAGCACCTTCCGAGGTAGGCATTGTGGTGTTTTTCAGTACTCCAGCCAAAAAACATTGCCTACCCTGCCTTAGACCAACACAGCTCCAACCTACACCCCTGAAAACGAAGAGCTAGCATTTTCTGAGGGGTGCCTGAAGTCTAATGAAGTTAAGAACCACTGATTTAGATCTTAGGTTTCAGAGAAGTTTTTGTTTTTGTTTTTTTTTAATTAGAGACTATGATAAAAGACAGAGCTACTAAGCAGGTCTAGGAACAGACTTCTAGTAGGGATCCCCAAGTATCTTCCCTTTTTCCATTATATAGCAAGGAGAAGCACTGACTTTTTCATGGACCACCTAAAAATTGCTGAGGGTCTCGGCAGACCACTTAATAAACTTTTTTTTGTTCTACAAATCAAAGCACACAACTCATATTTTAACATCAGTAGTCTTACCTTACAAGTACAGATATTCTTGATAGTTCTGTAACCTTTCTGCAGACCCCCTGAATGGAGCTTGTGGACCAGTGGTGGTCCGCAAACCACAGTTTCAGAACCTGTCTTAGACTATCCTGTCCACCCGCCATTTTACTCCAATCCTTGGCTGCCAGCTGTATACTAAGAGTCCCAAGAACTAAGCCCAGGTAGCTAACTTGAATCAACAAAGGAAGTAGCCACAAAACACATGGAGAAAAGGAATACATTGCAAAAAAAAACCCCAAAAAACTTGTAAAGAAAAAAAAGAAAAACAAATCTAGAATAACATTAAGAGTAAGGACAATGTATGTAGGACAGTACACAGATGACACATGCTAAATTGCTTAAGATGACTTGTGCAGGCAAGGCCAGCCACATTCAACACAAGCTAAATCTGATGGGTTAAAGTCAAAAGTCGCTTTCAGCATCCACTGTGCAACACAGGAGCCTGGGCAAGACGGACCTATGGTCTGATCCAGCCGGTGGTAATTAATATATTCTTACAAGAGGACCAGAGCTTTAGACCATACTTTGAATCCTACTTTAGACAATGCTATATTGAAGAAAATACAAGCAGACACACTATGATAACAAAAAAAAGCAAAGCCATGAAAGAAAGAAGCAAGGGGAAAAGCAAAAGATATAGAAGTGACCCATTTGGAAAAGAAAAGCTATTGCTGAAAACATCTCCAGGAAATGGAGTGCACCTCAAACAACGCCGATTTGAGATCCCTGGGGCACAAGGAAGGTGTGGCCAAGCAGGCATTTCCCTCCTTGCCAGCAGCTGCTGTACGCAGTTTTTCTCCCCATGGCATCCTCCCACGCTTCCCTGCACAGCATCTCACAGCACTTTTCAGGGGTCATCTCCTTTCTGCTTCTCTAAACAATACCCAAGAATTACGGCATGCCTGCCATACTGTATATGTGGGTCTCAGCACAAGCCTTTCTTCCTTCCAGCCCAGATGACTGTCAGGCTGTGCCAGTGGTTTATTTTTTCCAGGCAGACATGCAATGACAAGCCTCCGTCAATTCCAGTGCCGCGCTGCGTATCCAAACGCTCAGTCTCCCTACTGGAAAGACTCCTGTATCTAGGGGACTTTGAGCACCAACACCCAACCCTTCCTAAAACCCTGGGGGATGGGGGGGCACTGCGCCAGTGCCTGGTACCCTAGAGGATGCCATTACTGGGGAGGTGGGCTTTCTTTTCATTCCCCTGCTGCCGGCTCCAGGTTTTAGAGCAATACCATTCATTTCGCTATTAATAAACACAGGATGCATTACTGAGCTGATGTTCCCTGGGTCCAGCCTGCAAAGCGATGGGATTACACGCTTTGGGGGGCAGGGGTTGTTTCTGGAGGGAGCAAGCTCCCTCCCCCGCCCGGCCCGAGGGGCTGCTCGGGGCCGGGGGGATCAGAGGCCGGCGGGGAGGGCGCCGCGGCGCAGACAAAGAGGCGACATCGCGCCCCCCGGCGCCCGCCCGCCTTTGTGTGCCTCCCTCGGCCGCGCGGGCGGGACCTACCGCTGCCTGCAGCCGGCTCCAGGCTCACGGCGCCGTCCCTCCAGATGCGGAGCTGGGCGGGCGCCTGCAGGCGGG